GGGGAGAAGCAACATTATGTGCTGGTTAAGGATTTTGATAGAATGATGTATAATAAGACTAAGTATCAGCACAGAAAGTATTTCTGCATACATTGTCTCCAATGTTTCAGTACAAAAGAGATAGTTAACTAGCATATGACCAATTGTATGGAAATAAATGGTGAGCAGGCTATTAGGATGCCGAAGAAGGACAAAAATACACTCCAGTTCCAAAACCACCATAGTCAGATGCCGGCACCATTTGCTATATAGGCAGATTTTGAGGCTGTTACTGAGAAGGTACAAGGATGCCAACCTAATAGCACTAACTCTTACACAAACAAATATCAAAAGCACACGGGATGCAGCTATGGTTACAAAGTAGTGTGCTGTTATGATGATACATATAGTAAGCCAGTACAAAGTTAATTTACAGGGGAGAAGATTCCATTAAAAAGTTCATGCAGGAGATGCTGAAGGAGGTAGAATATTGCAGGAAGACTATTAGCACCAAATTTAAGAAGCCCTTACAAATGACTGATGAGAAGAAAATTTTATTAAGACAAGCAGAACAGTGCCACATTTGTGGCCAGAAGTATAAGGAAATGGAGAAAGAAATTAGAGTCAGGGATCATTGCCACATTACTGGCTGTACCGCAGAAAAGTTTAAGCTGCCTGTTATTTTCCATAATCTCTGTGGGTACGATTCCCATTTTATTATGCAGGAAATTGGGACCATAGGAAAAGAACATGATCTGGAAATAAACTCTATTCCAAATAATATGGAAAAATACATGGCCTTCATGTTAGGTAAACATCTAGTATTTATGGACAGTTTCCATTTTACAGCCGACAGTTTGGAGCAGCTTGCAGATAATCTACCTGCAAAGTAATTCAAATATACAAGCCAAGTATTCCAAGATGAGGAACTAGCATTAATGAAAAAGAAAGGAGTATATCCTCATGACTACATGGATAGTTTCCAGACGTTTGGTGACCACCAGTTGCCTCCTAAGGATAGTTTCTCAAAGTTTAAAATATGTGATAACAGGCAACACTTCGTGAATATAATAATTAAGGATATGATGAGTATACCAGAGCAATATGAAATGATGGAGAAAATTCAAATGATCACTTCTGCTGAAGAGGCAGTAGTTAAATTCCCAACATCAGAGGAATTAATAGATTATACCACAAAGTAACTAAATACCAGCTACTTATTGGCTCAGCTAACTTGAGAAAACTATTAAAAGTGCCCTGGTTTCTATAGTTCCCCTTTAATCTTACTACTACAGAAAAGTTAGATTGAAGGAACGTTTGTTTTCTTCTTTTCAGACCACTGGTAGCCTTTAAAGAAAATGTCTTTTCTTTTAAAGAAAAACACTAAAGAAAGAGATGACTGAGAACTACCTAGATTTGCTAAACCAAAAAACATTGTCCATTAGTAGCGTTTGTAAAAATAGAGAGTGACTAAGAGTTGGGATCGCAGAGTTATAAGAAGAAGACTCAAAAGATCAATAGATCACACCGCTATTTAGACACTAGCCTGAAGGGGACTTAATGTAGATCGCTAAAAGAACGGCGAGATGTAACAAAACCTAGGCGAGTAGAAAAACTAGCTGGGCCGAGGCATCTGGAAACTCTTTCCATGCGATTTTGTTATGCTCGTCTATGCTATGTTCAGACTATACCGGTTTGCTTTTCGTGCCAACACATAAAGCTATCAAGGGTAGTGTGAACATCTATCTGTTACCCCACTTAAGCGATCGGCACAGCGCAGCATCACTCCTTTAGCAGAAATCATGCCGAAATCACCGTTCGATTAATTGAGCCTAACATGCTGCAAAAGCATCATTTTCTTAGTAGTTGAGATCAATCTCAAATTCTCTGCCGCTGGGGTGCATCCACATTTTATTCCAATGACAGAAAAAAGCTTCCAAAAGCAACTACCAAAACACACAACAGAAGCCCACTGTTTCATTTCCTTCATCTCTGTCCTGAGTTCTAAACTGAGCATGAAAACCGCTGACAGAGTGGCTTGGCATGACATTGCCATTGTTACTGTTGCTAATGTGAGAAGGTCACTTAAGTTCATTTTAAGCTTATTTTATTTTTCTATTATTTCCAAATTATTTTCAACTATTTTCATTATCCTAATAATTATTAATTGGTTGTTTACCTAAATATCTTTATTTCCTTGTACATATTATTTTTACCATGTGTAGTTGTATTATTCCCACACATTTCTTGTATTTAAATCCTGTTGTGTAGGAGTAGTAAACACCTAGTTTCCTTAGGTAAATCGTGTGTTAGTGGGCAGTAAATTCACTCCCTAGCCTTATTTGGGTTTTAGTTATTTTTGATTTTCCTCCAAATCTATTATAAATTGCCATCATTACAGAACGATTGCGGCGCTACAATACAGCAAGAGGATGACGAGGGGAGAAGGCAACCTTCCAACGATGTGGTTGAAGTAAGCTATTCATCTTAAAGCTGTGACCGTTAACTGCTGCTTTTATAA